GAAAGGGGCGGCGGGTGTGATTACACTGCGGGGGAGAGGCGCGCGCGAGCTAGATGCTCGGGTGGAGGGGGAGGAGTGGATGAGTGTGCGAATAAATGAATGAGTGAGCGAACGAATCTACCAGTAAACGGAGGAGGGAATGCAGGAACGGAAAAGACCTCTCTCCCTTGGGTGACTTCAGGATGGTGAGGGGGGTTTGGAGGTTTGGGAACCAAGGGCAAAGAAGAGGAAAGACAGCCCCTCACTGGAGAGGTCAGAGCTCTGCGCCAGGCACTGAGATTTCCGCTGTGGGCAAAATCAGGCCTCAATCCCTATCCTAAAGGGGCACACATTTTGTGCCCTAGAGCTCCTGTGAGTGTATGTTTGTGTGTGTTTGGAGGGAAGAGGGTCACGCAATCCACAGGTAAGTACTTTCGTAACTTTCAAAATAGCAGGTCGTACTACGAAGAAAAAAGAACAGGATCCTTGGATCAGAGGTACTGCAAGCATCTGGTTCCACATCAGTTTTTTGTCAGTCTAGAAAAATCTAGAAGCTGCTGCTGCCCTCCACTGTGCTAAGCCCTGGGGTTACAGGTCATTGCTTTCTTGAAGATTTTGGTTTTGAGAAGAAGCCAGTAATAAACGAGGATCAGCCATAAGATCAATTAAGAGTGATGAGAACTTTGAAGAACATCAGTCAGGATGGGGGGGGGGGGGCGCTCCAGTGAGACTTGAATGGCAGAAAGGATTCAGTCATGTGTAGGTGGTTGAAGACAAGAAGGGCGTCTGCAGGCAAAAGGAGCCGCAAGTGCAAATGCCCTGTGACAGGAACAACCTTGGCATAGTCTAGGATCAAAAAGGAAAATGTAACTGAAGTGCAGCGAGCAAGGGAGGAGAGAGGTGCTGAGGTGAAGCCTGGGGCTGAAATCGATTCTGAGGGACACGATCTTTTTTCCTTGTTTTTATTAATAAGCATTTAATACACTATTAGTGACAGTGATTACAGCCAACTTCTTAAATATTCTTGTAACAGTTTTATACACTCAACTATGATGCTTTTCTTATTCTCTGCACATTTTATTATGAAAATCTTGCAATATACACAGATGCATTTCAAAGTAAGTTGCAGACATCAGTACACTTCACCCCTAAACACTGCAGCATGTACAACATTAACTAGAGATTGATTTTTGTTTACTGTTCTTTATACTTTTTGGAGATCAAATTTATATACGGTGAAAGGCACAAATATTAAGTGCCCCATACAGTGAATTTTGACACATGCAAGCCCCAAACCACTATCAGAATATAGAACATTATCAACATGTCAGAAACTTCCCTTGTGCTTCTTTGCAGTCAGTCTCCACCACAGTCTCATACAGAGGCAACCATTTTCTCATTTTTCTTGCCATAGATTACTCTTGCCTATTTGAGCAATTACTATTCCATTCTGAATGGATTCGCTAGTACGTACTGTTGTGTCTGGATTCTTTCATTCAGTATGATATCTCTGAGGTTCATCTGTGTTGTTGAATGTGTCGCTCCTTTCCTCTTACTGCTGAGTAGCACTCGACTGTACGGATGTCTCAGAATTGGTTTATTCATTCACCGGGTTATGATCTGGGCTGTTTCCAGTTTGGACAACTATCAATAAAGCTGCTATGAATATTCATGTACGCATCTTTGTGTCGACATATGCTCTCACTTTTCCTGGGTAAATACCTAGAAGAAGAATTGCCACATCATAGGATAGTTGTACGTTTTATAAGAAACTGCCAGAATGTGTGCCAAAGTGGCTGTGCAATTTACGTTGCCACTAGAAATGTCTGAGAGTTCCTTTTTTTCCCCATCCTCGTCAACATTTTGGGTTGTCAGCTTTTATTTTTAGCCAGTCAAGTGGGCGTGAAGTAGTTTCTATTGTTACTTCAATTATCATCTCCCTGATGACTAATCATGTTGAGTATATTTTAATATGCTAACTGGCCATTTCTGTATGAGGGGGACCCACAAAAACCCGGAATTTATTTATGAAAAATTGTGTACTTATTCTTGCATGTTTAAACTTCAGTCATCTTCAGAGTACTCTCCATCCATTTGATGCAATATGCCTATTGAGATGCTTTTTCCACTGCTCAGAACAGTTTTTGAACTCATGCATTTTGATGCCTTTTAGTACTTCTGCCGTTTTTTGTTTCACCTCTTGCACGTCAACAAAATGTTTCCCTTTGAGGACTTTTTTCATCCGGGGAAACAAAAAAAAAGGTGAGACCAGTGAATTGGGATGGTGGAACATGGGGGTCATGCCGCTTTTGGCCAAAAATTGCTGAACACTCAGTGCTGCGTAAGCAGGTGCATTGTCATGGTGGAAGAACCAGCTGGCTGTTAGCTGCAACTCAGGACATTTCTTCTGCAAATCATGAGTCAACCTTCTCAAATCTGCCCGGTTAAACACTTTGGTTGACCATTTGATTTGGAGGAACAAATTTTGAGTGTACTACAAGGGGCCTGTCCTCCAAAAAGATAATTCCAGTTTTTTGGGGTGCCCCCTCATATCTTCCTTTGTAAAGTGTCTGTTCAAGTAATTTTCTCAATCTTATGTACATGTTGGGTTTTTGTTTTGTTTTGTTTTTGAAGACAGGGTCTTGCTGTTGCCCAGGCTGGAGTACAGTGGCACCATCATAGCTCACTGCAGCCTCCCACTTCAGCTCT